TAGTACATAACGTTGTAAAATAATAAAATAATAATTGTATAAAATTTATAAAATATATGTTAATAAATTAATTAATAATATTTTAGATTGAACTAAATATTTAGTTGGTACTACCACACCTATTAGGCATCTATTTTCGAAAAAAGAAATATATATAGTGAGTTTGAATTTGAGGTCCACATGTTATTGTACTAAAAAAACATATTTTTTCTTTTTAAAATTGAGATGAAATTTTCAAATTGCTAACAAACAAAATACTAAAACATCGATATAATCCTATTTTTTGTAAAATCATTTATTTTTAGACTTTTCTTTTTTCAAAACTCCTAAAAAGAGATATCAATTATAGCTACCTGATATTTTGTAATATTCCTTTGCAAAAAAACAAAAAAGAAAAAAGAAAAAAAGAAGATATTTTTTAATATTTCAAGCCAAATATAATTTTGTCCTCTTCTCCCAATTATTTTCTTCATATATGTACACAAAAGCAAGGTCTGTGTCCTTTGTTTAATTATTCAGTCTCACAATTTGACCCAAAATTACGGGTTTGTTTGGATGTAATTTAAAAACTATTCTTTATATATATTTTTTAATAAAAGATCTCCCAAAAGATTTTTTCTTCAAATTATTTTAATTTTCTATCTGTTCATTACTTAAATAATATCACAAATTAAAGTATTTTTAATTTCAAAATAGAGGGAGAAGTTTGGGCTAAGTAGTTTGTTAATTATTTATTAGTCTTTAAAATGCATTAACTTTGAAGAATGGTCAAAAGTATGTTTGGTTTGAAACCAAGACCAACTTGTTTCACTTTGATAAGTCAAATTTTTACACTTTTATAATCACTTCTATTTTTGTTTTTCTATTTATTTTAAAATGAGAGAAATCATTGAAAAAAGTCTTTCCAATTAAAAAAATAAAAATGTTATTACTTAGTTTTCAATAAGTGTAGGTTGGTTCAATGTATTTTAAGAAATTATATGAAGACTTCTTAAAAAATATTTAGAACCTATTAGTAGTGAGGTTTGAGATGACCTTTTCAAGATTTAACACTTTAAAATAGAATATTTGGGAGTGTTTTTAAGTATGTTAAATTACAAAAAAAAAAAGATTTTTTTTTTAAATTTCACTATTTGTTTAAAAAATATTTCTATCATTTCAAAAGTTTCAATACTACTCTAGAACTTTTATTATAAACGTTTCAAAAATACTATTTGAATAGACATCTGTTACTATTTTGAACAGAAAATTAACGTGACAAAATTTGAAACGACATGACAATTACGTAGAAACTTGCCTGGATTAAGTTTGAAAAGAAAGGAAATGTGGGAGAAACCATTGTTTTTAAAAGAGTTAGGGCAAAATTTGGTAGACAATAAAGAAACAAACTCTCTTGATAATGGAGCAAGAAAACTTATAGGGGTGCAAAATTTGGATGTTAATTGTCACGTTGATTGCAGCTTCTACCACGTCAACTTTACGTTCGAAATATTAACGAATGTTTTCTCAAATTATATATTTGAAACGTTTATGAAAGGACAATGATATCATTGTAACTTTTGAAAAGATATGAGTATTTTTTATAATTTAGTATGTTAAGTATATTTAGAAATTTTCGGAACAACTTTCCAATATAAATATAACCAAACACCATAAAATTTTTGAAAAGTACTTTTAACCAGTGTTCAAAATGTCGATGTCGATGAAAATGTCGAGGTCCCAATTTTACGGACATGTCGATGTCGATGGATATTTCGGGAAAAATAATGGAAATTGTGGAAATTGATGGAAATTTTTTGAATTAGCAAATAAAACTTGAATTGTAGCTTAATTAGCCTATAATTGATCACCTTTAACCATTAAATGTAACAATATGACAATTTTACTTATGAAAATGTCGATATCGATGGAAATATCGAAATTTTTTTTTCCTTTCCTGAAGATTGATGAAAATTATTTGAATATATAAAGTAAATTTTAATTGTAATCTTTTGAATACTTCTTTAGTGTTTTTCATGGAAATGAGATAATTACCGACTTAGTTCCCAAGCACATTTCTAAATTCTAATTAACTCGTACATGTTTACTTTTTACCTACTTCTCTTTTCAAATTTGAATTTACACATTTTTTAAACACATTTTCAAATCAATCATCAATCTAACTTTTCAATCAGATTTACACAATTTCCAAACACCTCAACTTCGTGATTGTGTCATTCGTCTAAATTATCTACCAATAGGATTCATATGTGCTTCATATTCTACTCATTTGAGCAACTATCTTCAAAACTTCCAATCCATGATGACCTGAGAGAACTATTATAATTTATATCACAGTCATCAAGATAGTGCATTAGATCCTCCAAGATCATCTTTTTGGTATTAATTAAGCTACCTATTCTACTTCATGTTTCACCACTATTTGTATATAATAATATTTTATTTTTAAAAAATTCTATGATTATTTCAATCTTTATACATGTCAATATTTCACATATATTGTTCAATTGTATAACTAAGGACTAGATTGGATTAGAAATTATCAATAAAGCAAATTTCAAATCTTATTAGTTATATATGTCAATATTTCACATATATTGTTCGACAGGTCTCTCAACATTTTGAACCCTGCTTTTAACTGGTTAAACACATGTTCTTTCTTCCAAAAAGTCACCTCAAATTCAATCAAGGTAGGTTTGAGAGTATTTTTAAAGCAAATGCTCTTAACCAAAAGTATTTTAATTATAAACACTTGATAAAATGACTTTTATAAAAACTACTAAATAAAAAACTCGCTCTCACGTTTGATTCTACACTTTTGAAATTGCTTTTAAAGCATTTGCTAATTAAGAACTTAGACGAAAAGCATTCTATATCTATATAGTGCTTAACTCACAAAGCAGATTAAGTGCTTTTGACTTGTATCGAAAGCACTTTTACGTATATTCCGAACATAATGATTTTGAAAGGTAAATGATTTGAGTCATGACAAAAGCGTTTTTGATACTCTCAAACATAACTTAAATAAAGGCGTTGGAGGTTGAAACCAAACATGAAAGAGACTAGACTTCAAAGTAACATAAATGCACCTTCAACTAATTAGTAAAGCCATTCACACCATGTAGTTGTTATGAGTTGTTTCATATGTACTAGCTAGGGTTAGAAAAAGACCATTCCTTTCTTGTTGCACTTGTTCATTCATGGTTTGTTTGAGAGTGGATTCCAAGTAAATTATTTGTGCAAAAATACTTTCAATTAAGAACTTTAATAATAATAATAATAAAATAATACAATTCACTTTCATATTTGGTTTACACCGATCCTAAAAAGTATTTTACTGTATAATTGTTGTTCATTTTAACTGTTTTTACTTTGTTCTTTAAGCTCAAATAAATTCAAACATGATGATTTTGAATGTACAATACTTTTGGTCATGACAAATGTATTTTTTTAATCGTTTTAAAAGTACTTTTGACCTTGCCAATAATACTACGGAATATTTTTCTTTCCTTAGCATCAACAAAGGGCATGTTTTTTTCTCTCTCTTGAGGAGCAAATGCATTTGGACTAATAACTTGTTATTTAATAGAAAAAATAAATTTCTAATGGTTGTAGCATTGATACTATATAAATAAGGGACAAAAGGCTATAAAAGAAAAAAATAGTAATTAGAAAACTATTATTTCACTTATTCAAGAAATATTTTTTTTTGGCATTTATTGGAAAAAGATAGCTATGTCACTTTGGATTTAATGTTTCTTCACTAGTTAGCCTCACTTTATTTAAGTTTGAGAAACCAAAAAAAAAAAAAAGCAATCGAGAAATATATAACAATTTTTTTTAAAAAATTCAACGTGTATTTGAATCCCTAATATTTTGATCGAAGACATATACTTATAACATAGGATAATAACCCAATTTCAATAATTCATTGGTAAGATTTTCATTAATAAAACGAATTTTTTTGAAGCAGTGAAAAGAAAAATTCTTAAAATATGGTTGTTTGAATTTTTAAATAAATAGAATTTCAAATTTCCTCTATTTTTATTTTCTTAAAGTAATTTTAAAAGACAAACATCATGGACGTATTCGAAAATTATTTTTAAAATAAGAACTTTTAATAAAGATTCATGAGTTATAACAGTTTATTAATAAAATAAAACTATACTCGAGAACAATTCATTTTGATTTTTAATATTTTGTCCTATGTTTTTTAAAATATTTTTTCCTCTATTTTCCAATCATACCTCTGGAACAACCTCACAAAGCATTTACCAATCTTAAAATTTTTTTCAAAGTACTTTATATTATTTTCAAACATTGAAATTTTGGAAAAAAAAATCTTAGATAATGACAAAAAGCACATTGACCGTATCATAAAAGACGTGGATAAACCAATATATAAATAAGAAAAAAAATACTATATTAAAGAAAATAAAATAAGACTTCCATGGTCAGCAAAATTAGAAACGTTTTTCCCTTTTAAATTAAAGGAATTTAATTTAATTTTCTCGTTAATTAAATATGTTAAGAATCTAAGTGGGAGTGGGATTAGCCATTAGGTGGGTACTAACGCCGTCACCGTTAAATTGCGCGTGAAGTACACGCTCCAATGAATCACGTGAGACGTTCCGTTTAAAGTTACGTCTTCGTCTGTGTTACCTTACCAATAAATTTCGATTTATTTCTAATTTTCTATGAAGTCCTAAACGAAAGAGGCAAAAAAAGAGAAAGCAGAGCGTTAGCAAAAAGCGACGTCGTTTTGATACATGGCTCGCAGGCAGATCTCCGTCGCGAACGCCGCCGTGGTCATCATG